ATGCTCCTCAAAAATTATACACCATAGTAGTAAAAATGGTTCATTTTAGTGAAAAGTATTTAACATCAGAAGCTCTTTCAAATAGGTGCTAACCCTAACTTCTGCTATAGAAACTTTAATATCCAGAATTCTGACAGTTAAGATTAAGACCAGCTCAGCCTCGTGTCAAAAAAACATTTTTTTTTTTCCTTTTATGGGTATCTTTGTCCCAATTGTTGACCTCCAAGTATCACCAGATTTGCTCCCTATTTCCTTGGCCACTGTATCACCATCTGCCTTTCTTGGTTCCCTTTGTACCTCTGCCTGCTTCTTCAAAGCTTTCTCAGAGCCTCAAGTGCTGAGTGTCTCCAGAATTCCAACCTCTTCCCCTTAACACTCTCCCTGATTGGCTCATCCACTTCTTGGCTTCGACTATCATTTGTATCACAATAACACTTATCTTCCAAACCAGGTGTCCCTGAGCTTCTGATTTATTTTTATTCTGTTGGACATCTCTATCTGGATATCCTTAAAATATCTCAAACTAATTATGCCCCCAATCTTATCTTTTCCTTTAAACCAGTTGCTTCTTCTTTATTCTCCACCTTGGTGACTAGAACCCATCTAAGTCTCCCAGGCTAGGAATCTGATAAACATTCAAGATGCCTTTTCCCTCACCACCTCACACCCAAATCCTGCATCCAATTATCTAAGCTCTGCCTTTCCAATCCTTTGCTTTTCTTTTCATTCCTATTACTAATGCCCTCACTCAGGCTATCCTCTCTCACCTGGACCACTGCGGGCCACTTCTCTCCAAAATCTATACTCTCTGCACACCTGCCAGAATACATCTAGAACAAAAAGTTATTACGATCTTTTTCCCTTGATAACTTTCTAAAACCCATAGGATATAGTCCAAGCTATTTAACAAGTGTGATCTGACCTTGTCTACCTCTTTACAGGTTTATTTCTCATCATTCTTTGACTTCTGTCTTATATTCTAGCTACATTAAACTTTTATTGTTTCCTGCATGACTAGACCACGTGGTTTTTCTGCTCATGACTCAATATCAACCTCCCAACCCCCTTCTCAGAGGGTCTCTCTTCATAAACTTTCTTCTAAATCCCTTCATGTAAAGATAGTTAGAAATCCCTAAATATCTATACTCAATGGAGTATTTAATAATTATTTGAGTGTGTCCTAACGAGAGTGTAAGCAGATAGTTTCATTTTTTTGTATTGTTAGCAATACAGAATACACATAATGAATAAATGTGTTTCTTTAAAGTCCATAATCCAAGTGAATGATAGAATTCGCCTATTCGATGTTTCCTGGGTCCCAGCTCCATGACAACTTTTTCCTTTTTCGAAAATCTTTTTAACAAGATTGTTTTCACAACAACAAAAAATAATTTTAATGAAACACACAATCACATGACATCACAGAAAACATCTGAGGTATTAGGCAAACAGAAAAAATGCTGTAAGTTTTAAGTTAGCAAAGACTACTAAATACAAGTTCTTCCCCCACAAAGGTGATGTTAACAAAATCTCTGGTAAAATCATCTTGTAAATGGACAACCACAATGTGATCTATTAAAACAGTTTTTAAAAAAAGGTAACACTAGGATTAGAAACTTTTATAAACAGTATTATCTTTAAAAATGGCAATACCACATTGCTAGAACTTAAATGCAGAAAAGCTCAAATATTAGTCATAAACAGATAAAGATCATAAAATAAAATACATAAAATACACCTGGGTCAATCAATTTTACCTGAGTTCTGTATTTCTAGTGCAACATACCTGTAGTTTGATTGGGGCACTTTGTCAAGACCTCTGGTGCTCTGAATCCTGGTGTACCTGCCCGAGGGGCAACTTGTTGCCGCCTTAAGATGATGAAATAAGATTTTTCTAGTTATGTTAAAAGTTTAATTAGTTAAGACCAAAATATAACATTTATCAATTTAGTTCATAAGAAATTCTGCCTTGATACCTATGTTATTTTAAAGCAAATGATTTTTGCTTCCATGGATCCCTCTCCACCCCCTCAACTCGTTCCCAGGCCTTATTCCAGATAGGTTTTAAGGTAACTTTCAGGCAAAAAAAAAAAGAGGTAGTAGATGATAAGAGTAGATGACAATCTTTCTGGTTATTCTACATTGGCAAAAATAAAGAAAAAAACCAAAAGATTAAATCAGCAAGCAACATGTGCAAGTCTAAGATTCCTGATAAGCTATTCCTCCACCAAAATTATTTGCATGAGTGTATTTTCCAGAGCATATGCACATCAAATGAATAATATGTGACATTAGTTATCACTTGCTCTTGAAGTTATCACTTGGCATCAGTGCCTATGTAGTTCACAGAACTGTGTTATTTATTTTCACTCAAACAACTGTCCACTCAAATCGACGCAATTTCTAATCTTGTCTGGCATCATGCTGGTGATTTTATAGCACCATCAAAACAGATTACCTTGAAAGGCAAATACTGCAAACTTTATCTGTTGCATAACAGTCACAGGTCAGGTTAGCTGGGCAGGAACTGGTAGTTTTCTTCATCACACCGCTAGTCATAACTTTTGTAGAAACGGCCTTCTTTTTTGTTGCTAACTTTCTAGATAGTACATCCACAGTCTTTGACTGCTTCATAAGCTGTAAAAGAAAAGTCTCATTTTCAATTTTCATGACATTTAACATGATGCCTTCAATTGCTAATATGGCAATTGAATAGTGGATGCATAACTTTTAAAATTGCAAAATATACTACTTGACTGTAAACAAATAGTTGTCTATGAAAACATTTAAGGTCTTTTTAGGTTTTTCTGTTGAATACACATATTAAAATATACTAAATAATCCTAGTTTGGTAAATATTTGACTTACACTTTATTAGAACTTTTCTTAATATGTTACAAAAAAATTAGTTACGTTCTAGTGTCTAACTCCATTTCAGAACTGTAAACTGCACAAGTACATTGGCTAAAATCAGAGATTTAATTTGTTGCTCATGCTACTTATCTGTTACAGGATATCTTAAGTTGATTTAAAACCATTTAACATTGATGACAATTTTATAAACATTTCTAAACTATCAACTGTGTGACAGAAATGTGTCAGTTGTTGAGAATTCACGTTCTAGTCAATGAGAGAAAAGGCCTTAATGTTCCAAACATTCCATTAGAGAAAGAGTAACAATAGCTAATGAAAAATTCTATCAGGAAAGTTCAAGAAAAAAAGCTGGAGAAAATAAAAGTGTTGACTAGATGCTCAAAGCAGTTATACCTTCTGCCAAAACAAAACTCTACTTTTAAAAACTTACTGATAATAAATGCTAATTTAGCCATTCTCTAAATTCTCTTCAGTGTATGACTAATGAATGCACTTTATTAAGCTACATTACTTACTTTCACTGCAGGGCTCTCATGTGAAATGGAGCTGTGTATATTGAAATTTCTTTCTCCAAAAACAGAGCGCTGGACAGAAAGGCCTACAGATCCCTCCTACAATACCAACAAAAACAAGGAAAATAAGGATTATATCTGTAACACTTTCTGCCAGCTGTACTCTGCCATAGTTTTTAAAGAGTTAAGTGACATGAAACAAAAACAGCTGCATCCGAGTCATTCTCAGGCACCAAAACACTTCTGTGAAAGGAGAAAATAGTCTACACACAACTCTTAACACCCATACAATGTTATCGTAGTCCACAAATATATGTGTAACTAAAAAATTCAAAATCCACCTGCATGGATGTTACATTTTGCTGTGCAGCTAAAATGGAGATAGACACTTCAGAATTTTTCCCCTGAAACTAATGCTTTCTTTTAAAAAGGATAATTAATCTTAACTTTATAACATGCAGGGAAAATTTATTATTTTCCATTTCGTATATAATGTAATTTGTAATGACAAAGACATTACAAATCTACCAAGTAAATTTCAGTTTTGAAACAGTAACACAATCCATTACAAAACTTAGTTAAAATCGAATCAATTGACTATATAACAGATGTAAATAAAAAATATTTTAAATTGCAAGTATTATCCTAGTATTATACCTCCCTCTGTTGGACAAAGGAGTACATTTCTAAAACTGTGTTAGTACTTATGTGTTAGTACTTAAGAAATAAAAAAGGTAGAACCTTTCCATCTTTTCCTTGTTTAATCTGAATTTGTGTATTTGTGTAGGGCCTTTTAACAGAAGTTTTTGTGGTGGGCTGCTGATCCAGCTCCTTAGGTGCTGCTGGGCCGCTTAATGAAAACTTGTTTCCGGTGATTAGATGGGATTTATTTTGTAAACAACTTTCATGCTGAGTTTCAGACTGGACAAATTTGAGAAGCTCTATTTTCGTATCATGAGTTCCTTGAGCCAAACCAAAGTCTACCAAGGCATACCTAAGAAACAAAAGAAAGCATTTTTTACTTCTCTATAACAATTGAAGCTTGGTAACATCACAATATGTTCAAACTATATTCATATAGAAACTGCAATTCTTTGGGGATCAATTAAGAATTGATTTATAACATTCTTAAAAAAGAAAAGTAAGTTCTAAGGACAAGGTAAGGATTTAATACCTAACTAGAATTGAAAATTAAGAAAATAGGTATCTCTCACACACACACACAAAATCTTTATCTCCTTTTTCCATTGGCCTATACTGACAAAGCAGACAAGAAATGCAGAATATAATAAACAAAATCCATTCTTTTCTAATTGTGACAGATGTCATCATAGCAGATAATTTTTAATTAAATAAGATAATTTTTAATTTAAAAGAAATTAAAAATCAATTTTAAAATACGATTTAATTAAAGCTAAAGAGAAAAGTCAGGAGTAGGAAGGCCTAAGGAAAGAAGTTAGAGTACTATTCTTCTTACCACACTTATATGATCCATTGTATAAACAGCAGTATTTAAGCTTTCAATGCCTCCATGCATATAATCAGCATAAAAAATATAAACACAAAACAGTGTTGAAACAGAAAATTGGCTATCACGTGATCTAATCCCCTCATTTGCTAGAAAAAAAAAATGAGGGCCAGAGATAAGAAAAATGTGTAAGGTCAAAAAAGACTAGACCCTTTCTAAGTTTCTTTTGGCTAAGTGCCATTTCCACTGATCCATGAAAAACATCTAAGGATGTACTAATACAATTTTATCTTCTCCTATAATGTATTTTCTTTCCTCAATCACAATGAAAATCTGAAACAAAAAACCTGTGCATGGCTGCTACAGTATGTTCTATGTCTAAGAGATGGATCTCATAGCATAAATTCAATTAAGTGTAAATATTTTCTGAACTTTCTATACTTACTTTTTCAGGAGCCTATTATATAAAAAATTGCTGGGCTTTACATCACGGTGAACAATACCAAATTGATGAATGCGTTTCAAAGCTTTGAACAGATTAAACATATATTCCCGTACTTCTTGAAAGGAAAGAGAATGCAAGATGTCCTAAAATGAAGTTATGAGTAAGGTCATAATTTTTTTCAATTAAATATTCAGTTAATAAAGATTCAAGAAATATCAAAACCTACCAAAAAAGACTCATGTTCCAAATATGGCATAGCAATAACCACATGATCATTTTTTCTAAAGCAGTATTTAACTCCCATGACATTGTCTTGCCCCCTAGTGGAAAAATGCACAGTGAACTTTAGAGGAAAGGTCAAATAAACTGAAACTTTATGCTTATTTTTTTAATGCAATTTAGCAATGAATAAACAATGCTAGAAGACTAACTTAAAACTGTCATCATATAGGATAGTATACACATTTAACTGACTTGTACAAGATAAAGCTTTTTAAAAAACAAAAAAACAAAAATAGCACCAGTTATGAGATTGTAACAGTTCACACGAGATAATTATAGTTTTAACTGGAAAGGTGACAGAGTAAGAATGAAAAGATGAATAATAAGAATGAATTAACAAGATTTAGTAGCAGATAAAATAGTAATAGTGATGAATGAATTAAAAAATTGAGCATTAACTATATGCCAAGCTCTGATCTAAGCACTTCACATCTATTAACAAAGTCACTTAATCTTTATAACAACTCTATGAGAACGGTGCTATTACTTCCTACCCCTTTCCTACAGATAAGGAAATTGAGGCACAGAGAGGTTAAGGAAGATCCCCATAAAACTAGGAAGTCATGGAGCCAGGATTTGAAGCCAGGCAGTTTGCTCCAGATCTACACTCTTAATGTCACTATGTTATACTGCATCTCACAAAAGATAAAAATAGGGTAAAGTTGATTTCCATGGTTTTGAGCCTAAGTGAGCAAAACAACATGGATACCAGCCCTTTTCCTGTCTGCTCTGAGAATACTTGCCCGCAGTGCTTTTGGATGCAGCATTCACCCTGAAGTAACTTGCGGATTATAATCCTAACCTTACCCCCAAAGTTTGCTATGAAATAGCTTGCTTTTATTATTATTTTCGCATTGCTCTAGTATATTGATAGTCTTTGGAAACAAATGACATCATTCTATTTACAGCGTTCTGCTTTTAGTAGTTCGATCGCTGAAAATGTCACATCCTAGAAAATGTAGCATTCTTACATGTGATGTTAAATGAATGCTGGCAGCTAGCTGCACTTTTCTTTTTCTAAACAGGAAAAGAGTTAAAGTGATCTAGGCTTGGACTAACGTAGTGGTTGAGAAGAAAGACAGTGATGAGTTTTTAGACATTTTGGAGGTAAAATGGGCAAGACTTAGTGATGGATGTGGTTTAGGAGAGAAATGGAGAAATTAAAGATGATTACTAGGTTTGAGGATGATTCTGGCTTGAGCAACTGGTTAGATAGTACTATTTGCAGAGATGGGTAGATAAAAACAGGTTGTTGAAATAGGGTTTTTTTTTTTTCTTTTGGTAGGCAAAACAGAAAGATTAAAATTTAGTTTTTGGCATACTAACATTTGAGATGTTTATTAGGTACCCAAGTGGAAATGTCAAATAGGCAGGTATTTAAAGTCATGTGGAAAATACATGACCCTGCTTAGGCAAAAGTCTAGAGAAAAAAAGCCCAGGATCGAGCTCTGAAAAATTCCAACACTTAGGTGTCAGGTAGAAGAGGAAGAACTGAAAATGAAACACCAAAAACAGCAGGAAGAAAACAAGGAGTATGCGGCAGGAAAGAAGTCAGAATATAATGGTTCAAATCAATTACGTTAAACAGTGCCCAGAGTTCCTGTGAACAAAAAAAGGAAGTGGCAAAATGAAGTCAAAAAGTTTTAGTTTACCAGAGAGAAGAGTGGCCATAATATATGTATAGTGAAAGGGGGTGTGTGGAAGTGAAAATAGCATGTGTAGATAATTTTTGAGAAGTCTGACTGTGAAGGGAAGCAAAGAAATGATGGAACAGTTGGAAGTGGGATGGCAGTACATGGGAGATAAGAGATACTAGATCATGTCCGGATCACAATAGGAATGATCTAGCAGAGAGAAACCAATGAGAAAGACCTGCCAGAGGATTCTGTTGTTCAAAATAAAAATGAGATGAGCCCGTCCATCGCTGGGGGAGAAGTGAAATATGAGTTTCCCACATTTAAAAAAAAAATCTAGACCATGGATGCCAAGGTTTATGATTTGGCAAGAAAAGGAAAAGAAATGGTAAAAAAACAGGAAGTCAAGTTTAGCCTCGAGGGAAATCTACTAGAAAAATTAATATAAATATAACCATTTCAAGGTTAGAGGTAAAGTACTAGTAAACTGTATACAACTGACTGAAGAATGTTTAATTAATGGACAATCTCATCACTAAAAATCTTAAAAATTATATACAGCCAGTTCAATTAAAGTCTTTAAATTACCTACCCAGCTACTGTTAGGCACTGAAGTTCAGCGGCAATTCTTATAGGATGACTTGTTGGAATTAAGTGTTTTAAAGCAATTTTCTCTTCGGGTCCTACTCGTAATTGTGCTGTGGCCAAATAAACAGAGCTGAAAGTGCCTGTAAGACAATTTATTAGATTTCTTAATAACTGGTTTTTAGAAATGTTAATAAAACAATGCTAAAACTGGTCATAAAAAACTGTTTAGAACACATAAAACTAGAATCTATCATTAATATTTTAATAATAAACACAAAGAGCGAACATCCGTGAATATAACTTTTTTCAATTTTTAATAAATTCTTATCTGTCCTTAGTTCTTCAGGGGATACTATATTAATTTAACCAAAGCTCTATAGTAAATCTATTTAACTGGGTTAATATAATATATTGCCATTCTAATAAGTATTTTTCTATAATACTGTCATTTAAAATTACTTTAAGATTTGGATACAGGTCTCTTAAAAAAGTAGAAATAATAGTCTACAAAAACACCTGGATCTTTAAATTTAGCAATGAACTGAAGAGGAAAAAAAAATAAAAGATCTGGTGGTCAATTAAATTGAGAAATACTGAGTTAAAACAGTATTTTTTTTACTACAAAATTTTCCAGAGCCTTTAATGTGTTCATCATGGATAACCAAAAGGGAGTTATACACGCTACATTTCCCAAACTTATTTAAGTCTTAGAACACACTCATCCCCTTCCTCCTTCAGAAACAGTTATCAATTTGTGAGGACCTCACTGTTTTCCAGAACAAAGTTTTGAACGCTAAGTTTTGAACACTAAGTTTAAAAAAGGTAAGGAATAAGATGTAAAGATCTGCTTCATATATCCCAAATCTCTCATCTTCTAACTTCTCTGCCCCCAATCGTCAAGACTTTTCTCATTTGATCCTTCTGATTGTGAAAAGCAAGCAACGAAGTATATGGAAGTTTTTTTTACTATTTAAGCATTTCTCAACATAGCCACCAAAAAATTCTATTAACCTTTGTCTTCTCATTCCCTTCACATTTGTCTGCCAAATTCATCTTTCAATTAAAATGATCGTCAGTCTTTTCAATGGTATTTGTTAATATTTACCATCCTATAAATATTGTACAACTCCATTTTCATCATTTTGCAATCTTAGGTTTCACGTATGTTTCAAAGTACAATTCTACCTAACTGTAATAGAGAAAGGGGAAAAAGATTTGGCTTCTCTTGATCAAATCTCCCCAGCTGAATCTTAAATTTTTTACTTTTAATAATTATCATTAATAACATTACTGATATATTAATAGTTCTAATAGCATACAAGTATAAAGAGTAAAATAGTTCATTTTACTTAAATATTTATTCTGTCATTCTTTCCAGGGAAAAAAGAAAAGCTGTTACCATAATTAGTAATATAAACACAGTCTTAATGTTTTAAAAACGTGTATTTTTTAATAATAATAATGAACATCAAGATGAAACAGAAAACAGAAAAGGAAAAAAAAAACTTAAAAAGATAATAAAGTATATCCCCAAATTACCTTCTCCAATTTTGTCCTTAATCTTAAACACATTACTGAGCTGTGGTACAGCTTCATAAAGCTTCTCAATATCTTTTTTAACACCTATCAAGGAAAAAGCAATTTATAATTACAATTTATGAGAGTATATTTTATACTTTCTTAAATTAAAAAATTCAATGAAATAAATTCTAAAACATGAATAAGTTACAAATAAACAGGTATAATATGCCTTAAAGACATAAGAATAATTAAAACCCCATCAAGCTGCTATAACTCATTCACATCTCTTGAACTAAGAGAAAAAACTGATAAGTCCCAGAATCACACACCTAATTTCTACTACTCTGGAATTACTACATACTAACAGATACATTGTCATTGCCCACAGTACCACACAATCAAGAATTTAAACTTAAAAAATAACTAAACAATTTGTGCTACGATCACTAGATGGCATGAAAAGGACACAGTGCAATCTTCTTTAAAACTATTTCCTTCCCCCAAAGATATAAAATCTTACAGGCTTGGGAAAGTTTTACGTATTGCATATTCACAATATTTCTTCAAAGAGAAGGTCTACTAATGCTCTCAGGCATGTTAAAAATATTTTTAAAAAATTGTTCCCATTAACAATAGCATTCTTTATCCCTGACAGCAGATAAATTGCTACTTTTGACTAAATGTAAACTCTACAAAAACATACATTGTTAAAATAAGAAGAGGCAATTATACAAAATGCAATAAACTACTGAATACAAAAGAGAACTACGTACTTGAGTCATCAGATTTTATTTTGATATCTAGGCCAAACATCAGCTACTTTTTAAGTTATCATAATACGCTGCATAGTATAACACTTTAAGACATTTTCAAAGCACTTTCACATAGATTATCTTTTCAGATCTTCACAATAGCTCAGTGATATTGGCAGAACAGGAATTATTGCGCCGATTTTTTAAAATAAGGAAACCCTAGTTAGAGAAGTTAAATCATTTGCCCAATTTCACAGAGGTATTGCTGATAAGTCTATAGACTCATTCATTTAACAAACACTGTTTTAACAAATCCTCAGGAATGGCCATATTAAAAAAAATGAACAGATTTGGTGCAGCCCTGTTACTTTTAAGACCTTAGTATAGTGGAAGAGACAGATGTTAAAATCTCACTGTTAATATAATACAATAATTGTAATCATGGAGGAATGCATATATTACCGGGTAGAAGTGGGGAGGGAAATGAATACTACTGAAGGTTCCAAGAAGCTTCAAGTGACAGTTAAAGCTGTATTTTGAAGCACTCACCAAGTATAAAAAGTACAAGAAGGCATTTTAGGAAGAAGGAACTATATATGCAAAGACATGGAAAAGGGAGAGCGTAGGGTGGGGAGATAATGAAATTCAATGTAGTAAAGGAATGGAAAGGCAGAGAATGCAAGTGAAAGCCACAGAATTTTTTCAGCAAGAAGATGACAAGTGGGTAATTTGAGAGAGAAGAATATTAAGAGCTGGAGAATAAACAAGAGGTTTAGTCCAGTATTCTTTCCACTATATCGGCTCATTTAAGGAAATAGGAAGACTTACTTAAATTACCCTCACCTGTCTGTCTACTTCATAAGTGAACTGGAGAAGCTTCCTCATTTCAAAACAAGAGGCAATACAACAGTAATTACATGTACCAGTTTTGGAGATGGGAGAATCCCAGCCTGCTGTTAACCAGCCAGTATGACCTTCCTTGGGCATACAGTTTATCTCTGTAAGCTTAGTGTCCCCATCTATAGAAAAGGGGATAATAGGGTAATAAGAGTACCCATGCCACTGAGATACTGTGAGGATGCAATGAAATAATATAATGTAAGAGAAGCTTTTAACACAATTCCTGGGACATAGTAAATATTAAATAATAGTGGTAATTCTTATTGTTATTAACATTATTTCCTTAACGTTTTTGTTCTTATTCTCTCTGCTTGAAATCCTCTTCCTTCAGAACTTCATGTGGCTGGCTTAGCTGTCACAGTCCCCTCTGACATTCTATTTAAATTAGCGTACCTCTCATTATTCACAGCATCCTGTTTATTGTCTTCAGAATACTTATCTACTATAAAATTATCCTGTTTATTTGTTTGCTGTGTGCCCTCCCCCACTAAAATATAAATTCCACCAATACAAGTTCCCTGTCTATATAATTCAGCACAGTATATTCAACTCTACGTTAAGACAGTGCCTGGCACGTTTGTTGAATGAATGAAATATTACCATCATTATGGCCTCTCAAAGATAGCTGTAGGAAAAAAAAAAAAAGCAAAAGTTTAAGAGTTAGAGTGAAGCCAAACACAGCCGCAGCTATTTCACTATCAGCTACCCCACTACTTCACTCTAGAAATAAAAACCAAGGCCTGGGGGAAAGGCAGGCTTTCTAATAGTCACAGTTGCCACAGTCCATTAGAACCTTTCCTAATGAGTGTCAATTCCAACCAGCTTCAAATTCCAGCGTCACAGGAAAGGCACCATGAATGGATACTAAAATGCTATATTCAATAGTTCATCTGATTCTGAGATACATTTTAATGACTCTAAAATTGGGATGCAACTTACAGTTGTCCGCTAGCATCAAAACTTAAAGAACAGGTGTCAGTGACTTGCAAATCCAAGAAACCACAGAGAAGCATTCACATTTAATCCATAAGTACCAAATGGTGGTAGAGAGGAACAGTACAGGTAGTGGAGAAGAAATCAAATGTGGGCCAACTCTACCTAATTGGGCTCTTCTTGAGGACCCATTAACAATGGCTTTTAAAAAAATGGATTTCTCAAAGAAATTGTGGATCACTAATGTCAATATTGTGAGAGGGAAAACAGAACATCAATGACTGAGAATAAAAAGTGATTTAGAAAGAGATCTGAAAATTTTATTTTTTAAGTATGTTCCAGAGACATACAATTATTTGTCTAATAGGTCTAAAAAATCTTTCAATAAGTATAAAATAAAAAAATTCTAGGTGATAAAGCACTGAATCATAGTATGAAGGGCAGCATTTCTGAATAGTATATAAAATGGTGTATCTTCCATAAAATGGTGTATCTTACAATCAATGGTGGTTAGAAAGGATGAAACAGTCTAGGAACCTTCTTTGTAGTTTTTTATTATTTAATGTATTGATGAAGTATGTATGTACATATTTTTGTTGTGTATGTGATTAATAATACCAAAAGCCTTGTAGTAGAGTTGTGCTGTCCACTAGTTTTGTGCGCCTACTTAAATTTAATTTAAATTAAATTAAAAAATTAATTTCCTCAGTCACACTAGCCACACATGACAACAAAGAAAAATTTCTGTTATCACAGAAAGTTCTATTAGACAGTGCTAATATAGATAAAGCTTGGAATCTATAAAGATTTAGATTCTAATCCTATCATTAAACCATACAGTGTTCAGTTTCTTAATCTGTAAAATTGAAAAGGGGTTGGATTAGATGAACTTTACCTTCCAACTATAATAATCTATGGTTTTCCCATGAGTTGCACACTTTGGAACTTCCCTTTGTATTAAGTATGAGCTGGCAGTTAGTAGCAGAGATGCTGGTTAGCTGTTAGAAATCACCAGAAAGAAAATATATCTAATAAAATACTATAATACACAAGCCATGTGAATGACTATGTAAGCTTCATATGCTTCCACACCATTACTCACTATGTACTTACCTATCTTTACGAATCTCTAAATATGTTTATATTAAGGTTTCCTGTCACTACAGAACAATTATGACATTTTTAAACAACAGTAAAACTTCCTGACAACCAAAATGAATGCAAAACCCTCAAATTCTGAAGTGGGAGATGAGAGTAACCAGCACACAAGAGAATTCATATCAAAAGCTGGGAAATATTCCTGAAGGCAGAGACCAATATACATATTTTGACGATTGGGGGAAGACCCTGAAATGTCCACAAGCTAAAAAATTATTTAAATGTCCCCATTTTATACAGTTGGCTTTAAACAAGCAATAGCCTCCTTAACCATGCTCCCTGCTTTCACCCTTGCTGGCCTATAGTCTATCTGTAACACAGCAGCCGGAGTGATTCTATTAAAGCTAAGTCACGATATCACTATTTTGCTCAAATCTACTAATAGTTTCAGAACTTGCTCCACAGAAAAGCCAAAGATCTACCTCCTCTCCTCACACCTCTCTGACTTGACTCACATCACCCTCCCACTTCCAGTCACAATGACATCCTTGCTTATTCCTAAATGCTAGGCACACTCCCTCCCATCTCAGGGAGTGTTATCTCCTTCCCAGATAAGAGCAAAGTTCAATCCTTTACCACCTTCAAGTCTTAGTTTGAATGTTGCTACACTGAAGCCTTCTCTGACCAATAACTGATTATTACAATCCCTTCCCCTAATACTTCCTATTTCCCCTACTCTTCTACATTTTCTTTACAGCATTAATCACTTTTGAACATTTCTTTTGTCTATTTCTTTCCAATAGATTAAGGGATTGATTTTTGTCTGTTTTATACATAATTTATCCCTAGCACCCAAAAAAGTGAATGGGCATAACGGACATTTAATAAATAGTCAAATAAATGAAATGCTTTCAATTACTTACCATGGAGTAAAACTGATAGTCCAGGAATATATATCATGCCTATTCTGGGGCTACATGTATTGCCTGATTTTCACTGTCTATAACTAGGGAGACCATATAATTTAACCTAAAATGGGGCACTCTTGAGAGTAAGAGTGACAACAGGTATAAAATAGATTTGTTCCAGGCAAATCAAGATGGTATCTATAACCCATTTTAAAATCATGGGCTAAGAGCATCCATATAATACACTGAAAGCAAACCTTCCAGTTCAGTTCAACAGTATGGATAAGACATTCAGTGTATATATAGTTTATATTTTCTTTTATTGAATAGATCTTTATCCCTTGCTAAACCTGGCATATAGTAGGTACTTAAAAAAAGAAAAAAAAAAAAAAAGACTTGCTGAAAGAGTAAACATTTGGTCCAATATTATGCCAAGTACTTTTTATTGCAGCATTTTTCTTAACTTTTTCTTATTAGGAAAACAATCAGTTCAATAAGAAAAGGAAATTAAATAAATTATGGCATATTATCAATGAAACATTAGGCAGTCATCTTAAATCAAGCTGTAGAATATTTAACATACAAAACGCTCGATATATATTGCTAAGTAAAAAATGGAGACTAGAAATAAGTTAGCTATGATCCCAATTTAGTTTTTTTGAAAAAAACGTATCTCCAGAGAACAAACTGATGGTTATCAGACAGCAAGGAAGTTGGAGGGATAGGTGAAAAAGGTGAGGACATTATGAAGTACAAATTGCCAGTTATAAACATAGTCATGGGAATATAAAGTACAACACAGGGAATATAGTCAATAATAATGTAATAACTATGTATGGGGTTACGTGAGCACTAGACTCATTGGAGTGTTCACTTCATAAGTTATATAAATGTCTAATCACTATACTGTACACTGAAACTGATAAATTTTGAAACAAAATTGTTTTTATCTGTATGAACAGGAAGACTAAAGGAATATATAACAAAATGTCACCATGGTGATGCTTGGATAATATATTCTTATTTTGGCCTTTTATACTTTCTAAATTTTCTTCAATAAGCATGTGTAATTTTTATCAGAAAAAAAAAAAGTTATAAAAAGCTGATAAGTACCCCAAAGGGCCATGCTGTTCATCTATTACACTATTTTACTTTATATCCTTGCATTAAACCATTCATTCAATATTTTCAAGCACCTACTATGTGCTGGACACTGTTAAGTTCTGGGAATACAAAGATATAGAAAAAGTCCCATCATTCAACAGTTATTCCACCAAGAGAAAGTAAATTACATTGGGTCATAAGACAGTTATGTGCTTGGACCTCATCAGCTTTACTCTCCTTACTGAAGTTACGTTTTTAATATAACCTTAGCTTTTATTCGGGGAATGAAAGAGACAATATCTCAGTATGTTTTATAAATTATCAAAGGTACTGTTTATAATGTTCAATGTTCTAGTACATAAAAGCCATAAAACTTTAGAAGTTTAAAGTTCACCCCACTCTATTTCCCAGATTTTCAGAGGCACATTAAAATAGTAGCTTTACCTTGAACATAATGCCAGAATCAAGTCAGATTCATCCATTTATACTGTGCCTAATGCACAACATACGTCAAGACCTATATGAGATACTGCCTTTAAGGAGCTCTTGGTATAACTGAAGAGACAAAATACACAGAGTACTAAACAATACAAGAATAATACAATGACTGTGTTACTGTATTACGTGTCCAATGACCATGAGAAACAGGTAACTGCAAGAAAAATGAAAGGGAAGAGAAACAGCATCCATGAAATTGGATGAAGGTGGCATCGTAAGAAAAGTGGCGTTTTAACTTTGCATTTGTGAACACAAAATGCAATACACACAGAACGTATTGAACTGTACATGTGAAATCCGTACGATTTACCAATGTCATCCCAATAAGTTTAACTAAAAAAAATTAAAATAAAATAAGATTATTCTAGTAGCAGTGTACAAGATTAACGGGAGGAAGAAAAAAGTGAAAGCAGGCAGTTTAGTTTAGGTAAGAAACTTGTAATTCAGAAGCAAAGTGTAAGGGAATGAATTAATGTGGTGGAAGTGGGAATGAGAGGAAGAGGCAAAGCCACACATTGAAAAAAAGAAAAGGTTGCTTGACAGGATATGGAAAGCAAATACAAAGCATAAATTGAAAACAACTCTGAAGTTTTAAGTATAGGTAAATGTAATAATAGTGGCTTTTATTACCAAAAATAGGGATATCAGGAAGAGTACTCATTTTGACACCAAAGATGAGTTTAATTTTAGTTAGAAAGCAAAAGCATGTGTCATATTTTTCTAGAGTGGGGTTAAAGTTTATTTTGTGGTATATTAAGTATATATTACAGACAAAAGGTCAAAATTAATATCCTTTAGGCAAGCACTACATATGTTTATTAAGACAACGATGAAAACGATTTAGCTACCTTTTAAGAAAAAATAGTCAATTGGGACTCCTCTAACCAATATTTATCAAATACCTACTATGTACCAGGGACTGTGCTAGACAGTGCACATTTTAGTGTACAAGATCAGGTACTGTTTGACCCTTTCCTTCTCACTTTTAGGGTCAAACAACACTTCATGATGTACACTGTAATATAGTGTTGTATTACTGCTATAAACATTTCATTTATTTTGTCACTGAATACTGCCTTTGGATACTTAAGTGAAAATCTCTCCCATGTCAATTTCTAAATCCAAGCTTAATGCAATATGGTGAGGAGACATAAGAACATAGGTGCAGGAGTACAGAACTTCTGGTCTGGGTATCAACAAACTGTGTTCTTAAACAATCACTAATATTTAGACCTTAGCAACTTCATCTGTAAAATGGCGTGTTTGGACTACAATCCTCCTAAAATGCAATCCAGTCCTAAATCTAGATCTTAGGAAGCTTTACTGATTTGTAAACGTGCTTTTATTTATACATACAACTCACTTTAAGATTCAGTAAATTTTTTTAAATAATCGAAATTACAGAATTGTTGCATGTACATCTTTGGAATTAAACACATACCTGGTGGTTTAAAATTCTGCTCATGTTTTTTTAACGAGCCATCGGTCTGCAACCCCTCACGCAGGGGAGGAAATGCCATAGGTTCGTCCACCTGAATTCCTAAAGACGCCTCCATCACAAAACAACTGGGATGCAAAATGCCAGCTAAGGGGTCATGTCCACAGAGGAGCAAGGCAGCTGTGAAAATTAGAATACTGGAGAAGATGAGAAATTTAAATCACTCACTGAACCAAGCATTAAAATATGCCACTGCCCTCAAAGGGGCAAACATTTTAAAACGCACCGTATGCTCAAATCCCCAAAGGAGAAAAACGGTGGGCCATTTCTAAGGATTCCATTTGCTTCACTTTTACCTTCCAGAAATATGGGCAGTAAGCTGGAGGTAAATTCCTAGTCAGGGTGCAGGGCACGGTGCCCCGGGACCGACCTTGCCCCGGGGTCAGACGTCTGGCGAATGGGGAGTGGGAGGGAGACCTCAGTGAGGAGAGCAGTTTGACCTGAGAAAGAGGACTTGAGGAAATCGCTTGACTAGTGAGAGGGAGCGCCAGGAAGCTCGTCCAAGGCCCCACGCAAGTTGCTGGAGAATTGATACCATATTGGCCGCGAGGGCCGGAAGGAAAAAGGGAAGAGGGAATGAATGGGATCCCTTGGGGAGCGCGGGCCGCGAGCAGAGTGGGGAAGGCCCTTCCTCCCTCAGATCCGAGACCGAACGGGATGATTAGTGCGCAGGCGCACGACTTTCCCGCCGTAGGCCAGCGGGATCTTAAAAGGATCGGCAGTATTACGCTGAGACAAGATCGAAGTCACGATCCAGAATTCGTTTCTAATCCCTCACAATCCCGCGCCATGGAACAAACCGTCGGAAACTCACGGTTTAAGGGAAAACGACTTCTGTGGCTCCCGAGATGCCTAGGTCGGCCGCCTCCAAGAGCGGCCCACCTACCGAGTCTGCCAAATGCGCCTGCGCAACACTTCCCGCCTCGCTGCTTCTAGTTGCTCATGCGCACTGCAAAGCCGTCGGCGCAGCGGAATACTCTCTTGGGCGCTTGCGCAAGGACGTTGGGTTTCTCCCCCAAGGCCTTGGCTACCCCAAGCGGTTACAGAAATAAAGCCCGGGAATAATCTTTTACTAGGAAAAAGAGTGAACCATAAGGTTAAGGATCCAACACAATTTTCAGGAAAGAAGATAATTCAGAAACAAGAAGTCTCAGATCTTGGATTCTTAATACATCCCGATGTATTCTGGCCACAAAAGACATTGAGCACTCTCGGTTAAAGACTCACTTTGACTCCCTATTTTTACTTCTTTTTGTTGAGTGCCCTACCTCTCCCTTAAAAACGAGGAAAAAAATGCAATTTCTGGTTGGCTATGGTTTTATTCGCAGAAATGAGCACGGTGGCATTCAGTCAATCAGTCTGTATTTATTGAGCCCTTGGCTAAAAGTTAGGTTTCTGGGCTTACAGAGGTGAACACAACAGAAACACACACACACACACACACACACTATGAAGCTAAATTCCAGTGAGGCAATGACAATCAACAAACAAATAAATGGACAGTCTTTCAGATATTCATTAGTGCTCCGAAGGAAGTAGGTGATAGTAGGAACAAGGCACTATGATGAGAGCCTATAGGGATAAAGATTACCAAGTAAAGGATAGAACAAGTGCAGAGTTAGGAATAAGCTTGGTATGTTTAAAGGGCGAAAACTTTCAGAGAACATCGACATCAGGCAAGACCACTTTGTGACCACGGTGGATCAAGACAAAACTAAAATCACTTTGTAATCATGTCTGAACATGATGTAAGGCAGTTGTAAACAAAAGTCCAGAGATACCGTCTTTAAAAAGAAATTTAAAGAGAGTTTATTCAGATAATGATTTGCAAACCAGGAAACATAGCCCTTGAGTATGAACCTAGAATATGTTCCAAAATGGAGGGGTTAGAGTAGGGTTTATAAAAGCAAGAGTTGCAAGGAGCTGTAGATCAAAGAGATGGGTTGCTAGGGGAAACGAGACCATAAATTACATCATTTGTTTTCTGATTGGTGGGGGCAACTGGACTTTCAATGGTTGGCTGACTTAGTGATCAAGCAAATGGGGTTGTAGGTGAGAACAGTGGGTACTATATGATTATTTATCAAGTCCTAGTTTCAGCCCAAGCCTGTAAAACAAAAAAGCTGTCATTGATCATGCAATCATGGTATAGGGAGTATTATTTAAAAACAACAAAAGGAATAAAATTTATCAAACAGTACAATCAGCAAGAGTGGGGCTGCTGGCTCTGCAGGCAGTTCTGGAGCCCAAAAGGGTGAAGTTATGTTCTGCAAGCAGCTTCAGAGCTCAAGCTGTAAAAATCCAAATATCGGGTCACAAATTATGAAATTAAAATTCTTATAAGTCCTCAAAGTGATTGTAATGATGCACCATGGATTATTTGGGAGATAAGATGGAAAGGGTTTAGGAAGGTGATAAATTGATCAATTGATAGATAAAAAGTGCTGGAAACGATGAATTGGAACTCTCTCTGTAATCTAAGAATTGGCATAGTGGAGGTATTAGGCTGAGTTAGAAGGACAGAAGTAGTAGATGGTGCATGGAGTAGTGAGAACTGGGATTTCAGAGATTAGAACATTCCAGAGGGTAGTTAAATTTGTTGGAAGAAAGATCTGTTTTGATATGAAAAGAGCAGACTATTCTGACTCCAATTTTAGAGCTTCTGAAGCACTATTCTAGAACATTGGTTCTCAACCTTGCTTGCATATTAGGATTACTCAAGAAGCTGTCACAAATCCTGAAGCCCAGACTGTACTTCAGAAATGTTACATCAGAATTTCTGGGGATGAGATCCAAGGATCAGATTTTTTTAAAACTCTTTCATATGACTCTAATGTGCAACAGGGGTGAAAAACACTGATTTAGAAGTTGTCACATTCATCTATAAAGCATGTTATCATCATTCTTGCCATAGTTATTTTCCTCCATTTAACATATATTTACTTGTATAGTTAACTTTTTCTTTGTATCTTTTCTATTAAGTGCATAGTAACTACTTATTTGAATGACTGAATCTTGTTTCCCAAATTGTTTATAAGGTTTATACTAGCTATGTAACCTGGATGAGTTATTCAATACCTCTGACAATCTATTTCAAAAATCTAAAATCAACAAAATACTTGCTTAATTGTGCTGGGGAATTGAACTTGGTAAAGTGAGATAAGAGACCTAAAGTGCTTAGCCTAGTAGACTTGATATTCTTAGCTCATTTAATTTATAGAAGGCATTTTTTTCCTTTCCCTATGTACTATCCCTAGAGAGTCAATAAATGGCTTTGGGATTAATGAATAATGAGAATTTAGGTTTTAAATGATTAGCTGCACTTATATCTCCAGGAGCAGATTGGAGATGGGTTGATTGTTGAATTAATAATTGTTACTTAGGGATGGTGATAACTACATAACACTAAGTTTTTCTTAGGGTCAGGCCAATGCCTTCACTATTTTTCCTTCACAGGATGCTTATTCTGCCTCTATGGGTGTGTGCGTGTGTGTTTCTTGTTTTTGTCTTTTGTTTCTATCTACGCATCCTCTGAGGTCAGTAAAGTTTCCATTTCTCTAAATATCTCAGCCCAGGAGCCTGTCCCTCCCCTAATTCATGGTTAACTCCTTAGAGACCAACTACAAGTAATTTTATCACTTGCTGTTTCGTTTTCTAATTAACCGTATTGAACAATTTAGTTTCTTATTAAATATATTGTCGTGTTCTTTGAACTACAACCCCACTTCTGTGCATTTCACATTCAACTAGACTGTAATCTTGTGGAGAAGGACCTTGTTCTTTAAAGATTTCTTTTATTCTTCATAGTACTTAGTTCAGTGCTAGCCATAGAATAAGTGTTTTATTAATGCTTAGTATCTTTTTGCATTCATCGACATTGCACAGAATTTTTTATTCTATCTAGTTGATTAATTTTTTGAGGAGGGAAGTTGTTCATTCAATAGACAGTTGTCTCTTTCTTCTACTTCCAAAGGAGACAATTACAGATTACCAAGAAGGGGAAAAAGATTTGGAGACTGACAAAAGACAGAAGCAGAAACCAATGGGTGTAGGAATCTGAAAGTAGTCTTATTTTAAAAAAATAAGAAAGCTCTGCAATGGTTTTAGACACTGATATCAGAACAGGGTGGTATTAGAGCCTTCTGTGGTCTCAAGCAATGCCATAGAAAAGATAATGAATATGTAAAGTAATGATTTTGAATCTTCATCTTCAAAAGAAAGAGATGGAAGGGCAATAAAAAAAAGAGAAAGTAGAAGAAGAAAATGGAATCAAAATGTGAAATACAGACCACTTTGCTCACTTCAGTCTTATTATCCTAGATGTTCTGTGGGGAAGGGAAAAAGTAGATGAGGGAGGGGATAGAGTCCTTCAAATGGGGATGAAGACAGAGGTTGGTAGGTCCTGTCCACTGGACGGAGAAGTGGAAGACAAGTGGAGATAAGACTGAGCAGTGCTTATTGGAAGACTGGCTCCCAGTCTTGGCAAGATGCCCATCCCTGTCGGCACTGTTGCAGGGACCCATGAGTACCTTGTCACTAACAAATGGCCTTCTTAGTGCTTTGGTGCTGCATAAGACACATCTGTGGACCTTTGCATGATCCTGCAAGGGTTAGAGGGGATGCAGAGAATGCATTTGCTACCATCTCAGCAGAATGGTGGCTCAGAGGTAAATTAAATTGATTCAGATAAATAGTGGTTTAAAAAAAACACACACAACAACAAAAAAACAGCTGGGTTGGTTGTTAAACTTGCTTGACAAGTTCACACAATTGTAGACAAGTTAGGACTTTTAATTATACTTTTTATGTCTTCAAACTTGTGCACTTTCTGATGAAATGAGTGAGTTAAAGAGACAATTAGCCATTCTCTACCTGGATGGGGCCTGATGTACCATATGGCCCCAAATCCTCTTGTTAAAAATCCCTAACTTGTCCTGAAGCCGTTGTCAGCAGAACTCTTCACACCCCTCTACCCTTTAACGCAGCACTCTCTCAAAATCTTTTATTCTTAATTGCCTACGACAGCAGAAATTTTCATTTGACAAATAAAGAATTATTTAGTGTTGTTCTCCAAAGTGGCTAGAAGTGAATTCTACAGTGGCAGAATCACATAGTCTGGGTGAAAGAAAAAGCTTTATTGGGAGATATTATTAACTAAAAGTTAGCAAAAGAAGCCATGAACGTGTTGTTGCCAGTGAGATTGTGGGTCTGTGCTGCAGCAAAGGTTTTCCTGCTGTCCTATTGTTCTTTCGTATGCTGGGGTCCCCAACCCCTGGGCCACAGACCAGTACTGTCCCATGGCCTGTCAGGAATGGACAACACAGCAGGAGGTGAGCGGTGAGGGAGTGTGTGAAGCTTCATCTGTATTTGTACCCACTCCCTAGCACTAGCATCACCGCCTCAGCTCCACCTCAGATCATCAAGCATTAGACTCCTGTAGGAGCACCAGTCCCTGGTGCCAAAAAAGTTGGGGACTGCTATATTGGGAACTCATGAAAACAATTTTATTGGTAGGGTTCAAGCTACTTGGGCGCCAGGTGATCTGTATTTATGTGCTAAGTGATTACAGACAACTCATCTTGGGAAAACCAGGTGCTTAGCAAGTACAGACCTTGGGCCTGTGGAAGTTTGAGTTGGGTATAGCCTGTCTCTCTAGGAAAAGCAGGGAGTCCCTGGTTGGTTGTATAAAC